TCTGATTCAGTACTTCATTTCTGTAGGCATTCAGGGAGGTTGCAGGCAATGATCAACAACAAAATCATCAGTCAAAGATTCACTTTTTACAGCACGGCAAAGTTTAACCCATAATCAAAAAATTAAAATAATTTATTAATTTCAGAAATTTAGATCAGATCCTTTCCGGATCTTCCCACGAACACCACCACAAAATTAGAATGATGGCAAGAAACCTGGAGTTTAGGCAGAAAAAAATAATAAAAATAATAAATAAATAAATAGGATTAATAGCAAAAATATTGCTCCTTTAAAGTTTCGCAGCAAAAATAGAGGTTTCTTTGCAGCCTTATGGGGTTCCCAGAGTTTGCCAGCAAATATACCGCGTTTTGCCCAGTTTCAAAGCAAAGGACCCCCCTTAGGCCTCTGGCCTCAGGGACTCAGCGTTTGTGGCCTCAGGCACTCAGCATTTTTTTATTTATTTTTTTTCCGAGCATGGCCGACGCATCTGGGCGTGCCCGCGGCCGAGATGCCTCGAAAAAAAAAAAAAAAAAAAAAAAAAAACAAGAAACGTGGGAAAAAAAAAAGAAGAGAAAAGTTGAGTGCCTGAGGCGGGAACGCTGAGTCCCTAAGTCCCTGAGGCCAGGGGCCTAGGGGTCCTTCGCTGTGAAACTTGGCGAAACCCAGTATTTTTGCTGGCAAAGTACGGGAAGCCGATAAAGCTGCAACGAAACCTCTATTTTTGCAAAGGAAACTTCGACAGGACGACATTTTTGTTGCCAAACTTCGAAGCACCAATATTTTTGAATTTAACCCAAATAAATAAATAAACTAGGCTACCACAGTGGCCCGGGGTCACTTGCCCGGCTGGGCCAAAAACATTACAAAAAATAAAAATAAAAAAATTGGTTATAAAATTTATTTTTTATTTTGAATTTGGTGAAGAATTTCGATGTGAACCTGAGGCAAAAGTTGCTCAGTTTATGTTTCATCATAACATAGTTTTCTTTGTGGATTTTTTGGATTTTTTTTTTATTATTATTTTTTTGTTGGGACCTTCCCTGGTCCTTGCACGGGCTGGCCACCCAGGACCCGGGCGGCCCGACTGGTAGCCTAGTAAATAAATAAATAAATTGCAGAGATGCAATCATTCCGTTTGCAACTTTTTTTTTTTTTTTTTTTTTAATTTGGACCATTTCTCAATTTATGCGTGTCATCCTTGCGCAGGCCCCATGCTAATCTCCTTTCTCTGTATGGTTCCAATTTTACGGATGTCTTGAAGGACTCAGTTTGCAACTTTGCACACAACTCTGTAGGAAACATAAATAAATAAAGTTAAACAATCATGTTTGCGCGGGGTAACCCGCAAGTTGACGGTGCACCTCTTTATTATTACCCTGCAGTGCTGACACAGATTTACTGCACGGACCCTTCTGACCCTTCTGACTCTTCTGACTCTTCTTACGCAACTGACAGACTCTTTAGGACTGACAGCCTCAAGCTGCACTGACACCAGAATCTGATACGACAGTCTGAGACTGGGAGAGGACAGACAGACAAACAGACAGACAGACAGACAGACAGAACAGGGACCGCGAACACAGCCAACTTGTGGGTTTACCGCCTGCAAAAGTGATTGGAGAGATGCTGCCGGTCAAAAATGATTGGAGAGATGCTACCGGTCAAAAATGATTGGAGAGATGCGCAGGCTCAAGCTATGAATCCCCCGCGGCCGCGGTCACCGCGGGCACGACCACGGACTCCGGTCACGGCCGCGGACCCGCGGACATGGCCGCGGTCCGCGGTCAAGAAAACAAAAATTCAGAAAAATCTGAAAAAAGTATATGTTATACCAAAACATAAGCTGAACAACTCTTGCCTTGGGGTCATATTAAAATTCGTTACCAAATTTGAGATAAAAAACAAACATAATCCTTTATTTTTCTTAACAAAAGAATGAAGTGAAGAACTTTCGCCCGAGGGATTTCTGTTTTTTTATTTTTTTTAAATCCAAAACGAAGTCAAAAAATAAAACTAAAAATATACGGTTGTAGAGCGCAAAAAAACCTACAACCCCATTTTTTTTTTTGCCTATTATCCTAGGAATTAAAAGTGAATTGGGCCTGCAATGAAGCACTTGGCCCTGTGAAGAAGATGGGGTGTATGAAGAATAAAGAAAAAATGTATATCAAAAGAAGTGAATTCTGCACAAATGGCATTCCTACAGTGGTTGGATGTAGCACTGAGTACGTGCTCGGTGTAAAACAAGCCCTGGGTGGCTTGGTTCTTTCTCCACTGGACAGGAACCCTAGCGCCACTCTTGTGGAGTGCCCAGTGTTGTATGAGAAAGGGATGAACAAGATGTATAATGAGAACATGAACTATGAGAAAGTTGATATGACAGATGGAGAGAGTTTGAGAAACTCGAAAGCCAAATTTATGAGCTTGAAGCTAGGTAAGATTGCCAGATGGGAGGTCCAACATCGAGTGCAATGGGCTATCTGGCGAAATGTTTGAATTTTATGATAAAGAGAATGAAAGGACGACACTTCAATATAAGTGGTCCAAAGCAGTTGAAGGACAAGATTAATAAAGTAAATGAAGGGGCAAATCGCGAATTTGGAGTAAATTGTAAAATGGTGGTCAGGACATATGCTGTCTCTTATACACATCTAGATGTGTATAAGAGACAGACTTTCTTCTATTCGATGAACCAAATCCTGAAACAGACCGTCGGAATACCTATAGGGGGAAGGGCGAGTCCTCCTTTGGCGAATGTATTGTGCATATTCGCGGAGCAACAGTTCGTTTCTAGTCTGGGGGCTGATGCCAAATACATCGATGGAAACACATTCATTAATGACTTGCTGTTGATAGGATGGTATGATACTAAGGTGGAAGACGGGGAGGACAAGATCAACAGGGTGTTGGACAAAGTTGGGGAATGCTACCACAAAGATCTGACGTTGGAACGGACCGACTATGGGAAAGGACTTTTGGAGTTCCTGGAAACCAGACTGATAGTAACTGATATGCCTGTCTCTTATACACATCTAGATGTGTATAAGAGACAGGTGTTGGACAAAGTTGGGGAATGCTACCACAAAAATCAGACGTTGGAACGGACCGACTATGGGAAAGGACTTTTGGAGTTCCTGGAAACCAGACTGATAGTAACTGATATGCCAGCTTGGATTCACAACTTACACAAGTTCAAGAATATTGACACAATCTGGGAGGGGAAGGAGGGGTGCTTCAGAACTCTGACATGCTTCTACTCCTACGCCCCAAAGATTCAAAAGTTTGCAGCAATTGCGAATGATTTGAGCAGGATATGGGATAACACGAACAACAAGCTTGCTCTATGGTTGAGTCTGGTAACGTTTATGAAAAAATTGAAAGTGATAAGATATCCAAGGGAATTACTTGAAGCAGGCCTGAGAAGGATGGCGAGAAGAAATGATTATGAGTTCGAAAAAGATATGATACAACAGTTGTTGCGATGGATCTCATAAAAGAAAACAACAAAGGGAGGAGGGTGGAAAATTGTGAGGAACGGGTGTGGAGAGGGTGCCCTGATGAGGTATAGTCCAAAAAAAAGTACGAGGCCCAAAGTGATTTCCTAGCTCTGATCAGAAGGGTCGTTTTTTGGGTACCGAATTGCAAATAGTGTCACAGGGCTGAATAGAGGCTGGTCCTTGAGATTATTAGGTGGTTGATTTTATTTTATTTTATGAGAACAGTCGCCGCCAGGTAATTTGTTACCCTGAGGCCGGCTGCGTCAGAAACTACTTTTCTATCGTTGGCCTGGACAGTCGCTGCCGGGTGAATGTTACCCTGAGGAGGGCTGTGCCAAAGAGGGATGTACGTGGATGGAGTTTCGGGTATCTCACGTACTAGCCGTTTTTTTAGAAACAGGAGCTAAAGGTAGATATAAACGCACACAGGGAGATATTTCTCCTCTTAGCCTGAGCAGCGGACAGAAGGGTTGAGCGCCGGTGTTCCTCATTGGCGATGTTGCAGGGATTCTATGCTGTGATATGTTAAGTCCGTGGATTCCTGTTTTGTATCATTTGCAGTGGAGCTACACGATCGACCTTGCAGTGAAGCTTTGGGAACGATCGGGTAGCGCCATCAGTACTGTACTGATGTGCATTTAATCTTTATTGTTATCGATATCAATATCTCTTCGTGAATTCCTTTTTAATGTTGGTAGGAGTACTCTTCGATCAGCCTCTCTCTGCATGATTCGTTGAGCAATTCGGCATCGGGCGACCTTATCGAGCTTAGACTCCTACGGCCTAGTGCGGGTGTTTGGAATACTCAGCATGGTTTAAAGCTACCACAGCTGGGAACGGAGTACCGCGAGGGTTTGCTCTTGGCACGCGTGTATGCAAACTCGGGTTTGTTGGGTCTTTCTGGCGAGTTGAGCTGAAGACACTGATTCGACGACTGCGCTTACGAAGAGTGGTTCGAGGCAGACCGTTGGGTAGCAAATGTGGTGGTAGGGGAGTGCGCGCACCCATTTTTTGGGGGCGTCTACTGCGGGGGCGTAGGGACCGAAACAGGGGATACACACAATTGGACTGTGGGTAGATATTTGGGATTAAGGTGTATGTTTTCTCGTCGATGGGAAGATATGAGCGCCCCTTGTAATGAGATCAAGGCAAGCTGCGTGGGTAAGTTGTGAAGTCGGGGTATAGAGATCCCGGTGGAGTATGTGGAATCTGGTCGGGAACGTATGAGGATACAGATAGTAGTGGCATGGGTGTTAGAAGCGCCCTGTCAGATGTGAATTTTGCAGGCCACGGGATCAATATTCGGGTGGCAGGATGATCACTTCGTAGGTGTGACAATGCACAAATCCCTGGTGCATAGGGTGTGGGGTTTTCAGATTTGATATTTTGCGGTGGGAAAAAAAATCCGGAGTACGTTTTTTCGAGGCTGCCGCTCGCATACGTATAATCCTTCGTTGGGGAGAACGTACGCGACGCAGGTAGTAGTTGGTCTTCGTAGTTTCGTCTCGTCGCACGTGAAAGATCAAGGCTACGTTGATAAGTAGTAAAGACGGGTGATTGGAGATCAACGTGCCATGGTACGTTCGGGTGTCGGGCGGTTGAAGATATTAAGTTTCCTGTTTTGAAGGATAATCGAAGTTGGTGATTGCGTGATATTAGACCTGGGGGAGATAAATTGGCGGTTACGTTGGAATTTTCGAAATTTTGCCGGATGATTACGAGTAATCCTCTGGTAGGAACGTGCGCGAATACGGGTGGTAGTCTAATGTCTCGGTTTTCCCGTCTCACTTGAAGATAGCAAGGCGGCGTCGGTGATCAAGCGGTCAAGGCAAAATTGTGCGCAGGTGGTGGCCTACATATCTCCGCTGAAGATTGTCGGTTGTTGTTTATGGTTTGTGTGGTTTTGGATTTTGTTTTTCTTGTTTTTCTTGTTTTTCTTTTTTCTTTTCTTTATTGTTTGTCCTGTTTTGCAGGTAATTTGGTCACCACAGCACGTATGCGGGCACAAGGTAGGAGTAGAGGAAGGGGAAGGTGGTCTAACTGCGGGAGATATTGGATGGAGAATATGGCGCAAACCCCGACACATTGACAGCCTTCGATGGCGCCATTTCAGCAACCCTCTCCAAATTTTCAATCAACAACTGGGCCATATCAGCAGCAGATTCCGGTGTCGGTAGCACCCGTCATTTTCACGTCGATTCCACAATAGTTCCCTCCTGGGCTGTCGTACCAGTATCCAAGATATGGACAACAACCACTGTATCCTGGTCAGACACCATCGGCGGCACCGAATAACAGGCAGTATCAAGGATTTGGACGTCGAAATGGTGGGAGCTACCAACCACGTGCCTTCTTCACTAGGGAACATGCTGACTTTATCGATAAATTAAAATTGAAGGATGCTATAGAGGAGGCGAGAAAAAAAGATTTGGATGAAATTGGGAGATTGAAGATAATGGCGAGAGAGGAGGATACGCAGAAGGAGTAGAGAAATAAGGGGAAGAAACCGAATGGAAAAGACAAAGGTAAGGGGAAGATACTGGATGATGGGAAAGAGGACGAAATGAAAAAAGTGACTCGCAAAAAAATTTGGGGGTTCGCTAAAGATTCTGACTGAAAAATTGGAGGTGGTTGAGAAGGGGTCGAAGATACAGGACAGTGAGATGGAAGAATTAAAGATGCTGAGAGCAGAGAAGGAGCTCAGGGAGCTAAGAGAAAGCTCGAGCAATGAGAAAAGAAAAAGAGACACCACTCCGATTCGCCCAAAGGGTGGGAAAGTGAGATCACGAACTGGTCTATTGAAGAAAGGGGGAAGGGTGAAGACCCCTAAGCCGGTGGAGGTTTCTTCTGATGAGGGGAGTAAAGAAAAGGATGCGGTAGTACAAAATTTGGATGGCAAACTGGGTGAATCTGGTGGGAACATGAAGGAAGTGTTAGTTCTGAAGGATCTAATCCAGGAACTGTTGGCAGCGAAAGGTAAGGATCATGACAGCTGCAACACGGGTGATGATGGAAAAAAAACTGAAAAGAAGCTGGGAAAGACTGAGCATGGGGGGCTAACTGCTGAGAAGGTCGAGGGACATGAGGAACTGGAACCAGGCACTGCTAAAGAAAGCGGGAAAGATGACCTTGCACCAGACCTCTATTTCAGAGATCGAGTGGTTTACTATGATGCGATGCATTACACAGAGATCCAGACTTTGTGTAAGAAGAAGGGGATCGCATATAAGAAGAAAGAAGCGGGAGTCTGGGAACTTGCCAGACTTGATTTCGAGGTACTGCAGAAGTTAGAGAAATCTGAGGAGGAGGAGAATGTCACTGAAATCGAGACAAGTGAGGATGATGACGGGGGTGAACGAGAGAGTAGCTCTGAATCGGAAAGAGAATCAGCGAAGAAAGAAAACGCGGGAAATTGAACTAGGCTAAGCAAGAGAACCTTGCTTAGAGCATGCAAGAGAATTATTTCTTTCTCTTGCAAATATGACAACAATTTTGCAAAAGAAGTAAGCACTGTCTTGAAATTGCTCGTGTTGGTCCTGTGTTTGAAAGGTGACTTAAAATGGGGAAGAGCATATGTTAAATATTGGATTAACCTGAACAGGGAACAACGGGAAAAGATATTAAATGTTGATAAATGTGTATATGTGTTCATCTCTCCTTTCTTCAAACTAACCTATGTGGGGAAAACTGAGAGGGGACTGCAAACTCGTAAGCAGGAACTCTAACGGGCGGTCTCTTCCAGTCGAAAGCAAAAACTTCATAGGTGGTTGGAAAAGACTGGAACAAATAACTATGCCGCCCTGCCTATCTGGTTTGGAAATGATAACTCCCTCACAAGAATGGAGCAATGTATTATTGAGAGCATTAATCTGGGTCTGAACACAAGGAAGACAAAGAAAAAACTTAGTAATAGGAAACAAAGACGACACAAGAAAAGCTTGGGGAGTGTAAATAATGTGAGAATTCCGCTGATATTCGATTGTCAACAGCTGGGTTTTTGCGGGGAGCCTAGCCTTTTGAAGATACTGAAAAAGGTAGACAATGCAAAACGCTGTGAAATTGTGAATGAAAAAGGTGATAAATGGTTGTACGCATTTGGATTGGTACGACTATTGTATGGTGACAGTGTAGTTGAGATCTCTCGACAGGAGATGCTGCTAATAGAAGCTAGAGAGCATATACAAGAAGGGGGCAAATGGGTAATTGTTGAATTGAAGAAAACTAGGAATAAGCTCAAAAAGGCAAAAAAAGAAGCTGTAATGATCCTAAGAGCACCTTGGACAAGGAAGGCATTGTATAAAAAAAGCCTGGAAGAATTACTTGACATAAATGCTGGGATTAAGCTTATAAAGATGGTGAGAGGAAGGCAGATCCCACGCGGGATTATTACGAGGGTTGTGAAGAAAGTTTATGGGGTAAATCCGAGACATAGGATCACTGTGAAATTGTCATTTTGTGAGTCAGTGAGCAAGGGGAAAGTGCATTGTTATGTGAAAAAGTGGATAAAAGAGAGGATTCTCCCTACCGCACTATCGGACCTATTGGCTGGCAGGATGAGAACAGTATGGCAGAAGAGGAAATCTGTCGGTGAAATCCTGCATAACCATTAACGCTTTGCAAGAGGAAATGGTTGGCCCTGCACTTGCGAAACTTTTAACATGCCCAGAACGCACGGGCATATTCAGGTCAGATTGGATGAGGTAGCAGAAATTCGGGATTTTGTGTTGAATGCAAAAAACATCCCAATTCCTGGGAGCCTAACAAAGGGGCTAGAAGTGAATTGGGCCTGTAATGAAGCACTGGACCCTGTGAAGAAGATGGGGTGTATGAAGAATGAAGAAAAAATGTATATCAAAAGAAGTGAATTCTGCACAAATGGCATTCCTACAGTGATTGGATGTAGCACTGAGTACGTGCTCGGTGTAAAACAAGCCCTGGGTGGCTTGGTTCTTTCTCCACTGGACAGGAACCCTGGCGCCACTCTTGTGGAGTGCCCAGTGTTGTATGAGAAAGGGATGAAGATGATGTATAACGAGAACAAGAACTATGAGAAAGTTGATATAACATATGGAGAGAGTTTGAGAAACTCGAAAGCCAAATTTATGAGCTTGAAGCTAGGTCAGATTGCCAAATGGGAGCATAAGGGTAAGTTGCAACAAGCCTACATCCTCTCAAAAGACAAGGACTTGGAAAAGAAGAGACCGATTGTTCCCTCCTTTTGAGTCCAACATCGAGTGCAATGGGCTATCTGGCGAAATGTTTGAATTTTATGATAAAGAGAATGAAAGGACGACACTTCAATATAAGTGGTCCCAAGCAGTTGAAGGACAAGATTAATAAAGTAAATGAAGGGGCAAATCGCGAATTTGGAGTAAATTGTAAAATGGTGGTCAGGACATATGATGTGAA